GGAGAGAAAGAGGGAGGGAGGGAGAGGGATAGGGAGAGAGCGAGAGGGGAAGAGAGACTATTTAAGTTACAGGCACAGCCACAGGCTTACTTATTTATAGTTTTATGTTTTCTTGAGTCATTTTTGTTAACTTGTATTTTTCTAGGAATGTGTCCATTTTATTTAAATATTTAAATGCATGGGCACACAGCTGTTCAAAATAGCCTCTCCTTATGTTTTTAATGTCTATATGATTTGTAATAATCTCTCATCTTCTATTGTTAATATTTATTTTTGCCTTTTATTTTTTCATGATCAGTATTGCCAAATGTTTGTTACATTAGTCTTTTCAAAAAAAAAATCCTGTTTTGCTATCCCTCTGTCTATTGTTTACTTGTTGCAGTTATATTGATTTATACTTTTATACTATTACTTTCTATTTTTTCATTTTAATTTTCTTTGCATTATTTTGCTTTTTTTTTGATGTTGATGTTTAGTCATTGATTTTCAGCCTTTATTCTAATATATATTTTTAAAGGATATAAATTTTTCTCTAAGCATGGCTTTGTATGATACCTCATAAATATAGAGATGTAGGGTTTTCATTATTACTTTATTCAAAACTATTTCCTAATCCCCTTGTGATTTCCTCTTTGGCTTATGAGTTATTAATTAAAAACTACAGTCTATTGTACACGTTTATTGTGTTTTCTAGTTTTTCTTACCCATTTCTAGCTTTACTCCGCTAGAATCAGAAAATATACTCTATAATTTCAAAAATTTGGAATAATGTGTGTCCTATTATATGTTTAATTTTGGCAAATTATGTACTTGGAAAGAATGTTATTTTATAGTTATTGATTGCAATGCTCTATATGTGTCAAGTATATCAAATTTGTAATCATGTTTTTTGGTATCTTTTCTTTGTTTACTGATTGTTTTTGTCTACCTGGTCAATCATTTACTGAGCTATAGGTACTGAGGTCTCCCACTATAATTGTGAGTTTATATATAATCTCCTTTTACTTTGGCCAATTTTCCTTCATATAATTTGAGGCTGTTTATTAACTATGTACAAATTTTAAAATGTTTTACCTTTCACATGGATTGACTCTTTTATCATTGAGAAAAGCCATCGTTATCTCTAGCAGTGCTTCTTGCTATAGTCTACTTTGAGATTAACATAATTATTTTGGTGAATATTTTTATGGTATATGCATTTCCTATTTTTACTTTCAACTTTAGAATATTCTTATATTTAAGGTGGCTCTCTTGTAATCAATGTATGTATATAATCTAGCCTGAAAGTTTTTGTCTTTAGTTGAGTATTTCATCCATTTACATTTAATGTTATAATTGATATATATAGTTTAAAACCATTTGTTTTCTAGTTAACCCATTCTGTTCTATATTTTCCCTCTCTTTCCTTATATTCCTTTGTATGGATTCAGTATTACTTATTTTTCTGTTTCTCACCTATGTTAGCTAGTGAGATATACATTCTTTTACCACTATATTATTCGTTACCTTAGTTTATAAAATGCATCCTTGAATTATTCATGCCTAATATAAATTATTCTTTTGACCACTACCAACTCAGAACAAGAGCTATAGTGCACTTGAATTCCATTTGCCCACATTCTAATTTATGTCCTTGTGAATTATAATTTTCTACATATTTAATATTTCACAAGACATTACTGGCATATTAACACACTATTATTGTTAACGCAAGAATTTTTTTTATATACAGTCAATATTCAGTTAGATTTACCCACATACTTATTTTTTTCATTACTTGTCATTCCTTTCTGCATATCCAAGTTGTCATCTGATATGATTTTTCTTGTTCTTAAAGAAGACCCTTTAGTATTTTCTCTAATGTTCATCTGTTGATATTGCATTCAGCTTCTATTAGTGTGAAAATGTCTTTACTGATATGTGATATATAAAACTTAAAACAACAAAGAAACAAGACAAACAAATGAAGAAACAAAAAGTTATAGACACAGACAATAGTTTAGTGGTTACCAGAGGGTAAGGGGGGCGGGGGGTGGTAGATGAGGGTAAAGGGATCAAATATATGGCAATGGAAGGAGAACTGACTCTGGGTGGTGAAC